GTATTTCCTCATAATTCATAATAGACCATCATTCCCTTAATTAATTTTCTATAATAATAACTATATTAGTTGTTAAAATATTACAATAGAGAATTTGAACAGACACTGAAAATTTGCTTTCTTTGGAGAACTATTATAGTTAAGCCCGAGCGAGGGCGGCACCATCTTTGTTGTTGTTATTGTAAAGCTACGTGATCGCAACGCGAGGGGATTTCGTGCAAATCAGGAACTATCGCATGTGGCCAGCAAAACATGTTAATTTCTCCTTCCAGAAGCTAAACTTGGTGTCTCTTTTGTTTAACACACCGAAGATATATCAAACCTGCGTATATAATCGTTTTTATTCGTTTCACTTTATCGTGAGTTACAAAAAACACGTTTCTAGTGGGGTAAATATTTCAAGTCGGCGATTTAGCCTGACCCTAGGCTGACTAAAAAATCGGCCTGCGGAGGTATCATTTTAGTCGAGGTTCACGTCATGCTAGTCGAAGTTCGTTTTAAGAATACGAAATGACGTAATTTTAAAGTTTTAGCTCGAACTACGACTAAAGTTCGTTTTAAGAATACCGGGGTTAATCATGCCTCATCAGTCAATATGTACACAAACGATCTTCATCATTACCATATGGACAACGGCTTCTACAAGTCTAGGTAACGATGACAGTAGCCATCCCATGTTAAACCGCAAAAAAAGAAATCCACTCCGCCCCCATTAAATACGACTGTCGGCCTACATTTTATGTAATTAACATCTGATCTAATATATTACGTACCTAGGCCTATGTGGTTGGCTACGGATAGCCAAGTGTAGAATACGAAAAGCTAAAAAATTCATATTTAAAGGAAAATCATCCTAGAGCAATGCTGAAAAGCTACCGTCTCAACAGAACAAAAATTCCATGTGGGACCTTGCTATCATGTATCTAACGGCAACGTCCTCGTCATCAACCACACCACAGTGCGGCAACACGAAATGTGCTGTACATACACTCATCGCTACTGACTGATTTGAATGTGTGTAGCCTACATTTCCTGTTATCTGATCTATTACACACACGTACTACCCAGCCAGCCTATAGGCCTAGTTCGTCTTCCTCTAGCTCTAGGCCAGCCTGCATTACAGTAGTGTACATTGTTTACCTCTCAGAGGAGAGACCACCCACCCTTGCAAGCACCACAAAACGGCTCATTCTTCGCTACCAACTAGACTCATGCAGACGCATTTATTAGCCGCAAAGCTTACCATTCCAGGCCGTGATAGGTGATAAACACATATGTGGAATATACAGGTGATCTGATTAATGACGAACACACTTTCACAGGAAACCCACCGTAGTGTTAAGAAATATGATATAAAAACATACTTTTTCATATATTTCCCGACAATATTTTCGCAAAAATTCTTCATACTTTAAATTCCCCAGGCCTTATCTTCCATATTATTGCAAGATCGGACTAATCGCGTCACAAACGAAGGAAGAGAGAGAAAAACAAATGACTTCAAAATTCGCTCAGAATCATCATATAAGCCCTCTCTCTCAGAGAGTGGGCTAATAATGAAAAACTGAACACAATACTGTTCTGCATAGGGCCTAGGCCTTGAACTGAATGCATACTTTGAAATTTAGATTTGTTTTCTTTATGGTTACTAAATTAGATGGTTCCAAAAGCAATGTTAATATTATGATCACAGATTTATACTCTGTTTGAACCTCAAGTTGGTAAATCTGTAAAAATGATTTTTCTGCTTACGAATAATATAATCAATGATGCTCGTAAAATGCATCACTGTATACAGATATGGGGATCAGCTCAAATATTCTATTGATGTTGCAGGCAATTCATTATTGAAAGATTGTGAAACATCCACATTATTAACCTGTTTTAGCTTGACTGTAATTAATTAATTAGCTATTGTACAAGTAATATCGGAAATTATGTATGTTACACATTCTGACGTGGCTTTTCCATACACAAATGAACAATTTTTGAATGGCACTCTAAAATTATGGGAACACCAAATTATTTGAGCTTGTTGTCACAAGAAGGTAATTAACTATAATAAAAATAATACTGTAAATGTACGAAATGATGCATGTTAAAATATAAATATTTTATGCATAGTTTTTCATGTGGCATTCGAATAAAAAAAAAAAAATGAATGCATAGACCATCGTAAACTACAGTAGCCAAAAATTTGAAGATTTTAAACCACCTCTTTGGTTTTTATTTTTGGGGAATAAAATGTACAAACATAAATGGCAGTGTTCTCCCCAGGATGAGGGTCAAGCATCATGGTACGTTCCCCCACCACACCCGCCCTCCCCCATGGTTGGGGAATTTTTTTTTAAATAATGACCTGACACTCTCAGTCATCAAAAATGCTTTTTAAGATTTTTGAAATGACTATAGACTTCTATTTTTTAACAAAATTGTTTGTGAAATTAGTGACCATACTGTTCTACTATTATAGCCTAGCCAGAATTGCAACAGGATAGCAATTTTGGGCCAACCTAGTTTAGGCCTAGGCCTAAATTTTAGCTTCAAACTGCTTGGCAAGTCAAAACTTAGGACTAAAACAAAAATTTTACGTACATGTCAAAACAAGGAAATTGGTCTTTGTAAAACAGATTTGTTTGTACAATATTCATTTTAATAAGCATAGGCCTACGTACTATTGTGTGAATCGTCATGTCTTTCTTGTCTACCTATTCATTTGGTAGGCTAACCACTTAGTAGTTGGACTAGCACTGGGCAGGCCAGGCCTGGATATAGCTAAAAAAACATTAGCCACGTAGGCTGCCTAGTTTGACTAACATTTATCTGAACTTACTTGTCTTTATTGTAAATTAGTATTATCATATTAAAAACGTTGTTTATTATTAAAAAAACAACCAAATTCAACATAGAGGCCATTGCCTAATTGTTTAAACACGATCGCGTTGTGGCTTCGCTGTCAAGAAGTACATGTGGTGAGGAAATCCAGATAGATCGTTCTGGGCACGCGCATGGACATGCATGGGAAGTTTTGAAGAAAAGAGTTTGGAGAATCATTTCTCACGGTAAAGATAACGCAAAAAGATCAAGCATGAACTTGGGCTGATAAACCAACATCGTAAGATAGCATTGTTTTGTGTTTAAATATTTTCACACTCACTCTTCTACTGTAGGATACATGGACAGCAATTTTTATTTGGAATTATTTTATTGACGATATTTCAAAGCGTCAGGGAAGACGCATCATGCGTCACGGCTAGCTTGGGAGCGTCACGGCCAGCTTGGGAGCGTCACGGCCAGCTTGGGAGCGTCACGGCCAGCTTGGGAATCTCACGGCCAGCTTGGGAGGGTCATGGCCAGCTTGGGAGCGTCACGGTGCCGTGACGCTTCAAGGGCCTGGGGAGAACACTGAATGGTCTCACAGAACTTTTCATACCAAGACCTATTGTACTTCAAGCTTAGTAAGTAAATGTACTGTACCTAAGGTGTCAGCTAACAGCTCAGGAGGCTAAACTAGTGGCAAACACTGTGAATTGTTGAAATCCTTGCAGACCTTTTGGTCCCTGGTTATATTCCTTCACTGCTGATCTCCTTGTACTGGAGGGCTGAAATTCAAGTTACATTTAATTAGCCCACTATTTGGTCCCAAAAGCAATTTTTGCCAATGTGGCATATACTTGGAAAAAAAGCAGAGTAAAAACTCCTGGTGTACTGTCTAATTAAGAAGTCCCTACTGGAAGTCTTTGCACTTTCGGTAGTTACTGAATCCTCGTTGTGTTTCACTTTACAACCAAAAAAATCGAAAATACAAAGGAATTGCAAATTATTAGTTTCACAATATGAATTAACCTTTAAAATATTGAAGCAATTTGGCACACTAAAACAACTTCATTGCTTCAAAATATCACAAGGTAATATTGGCATATTGGTATTACCACACGTACAGAGGCAAATTCTCTCTGTTTAGCTCATACTATACCACAATCCATACTACTATCCTCATAATTCATTTCCTTATTTGTAGCAAGTATTTCACCCTAGAAAATAATTCACATACCAACAACAAAACAGCCATCATCACAGTCAGTAATTGTACTGATCATTTCTAATACTGATGCACTTGAGCAAACCTACTCGCCATGTCACCTAATCCTTAAAATTCACATTAAACATACAGTTTTAAAAACGTGAGGAAAAAACCATGAAAGTGGATATTGCAACCTTCATGACAATGAAATACAAAAATATTTAAAAAAAACACGTTCATAAGATAATTAAGAAAAAAATTAATACTAAATATTAATGTATCTAAATATGAAAGAAAGTAAAAGAAAAAAAAATATTTAAAAAGCATTGCAATTATTTTTTTTATATTTTCAATTGCCCTTTTTTTTCTTGTTTTTTTTCTATAATTTCTTTACTTGTAGTGTAGACGTTTTCAGTAGGAATATATCCTACTCCTGAACAACTACACTTTTGTAAAGGCAGCCAATTATTGATAGTCTGTTGTTCCAAATAAAGTAAAATATAAATTACCAAACATAAATGCTCATGCTATACACACATGTGCTATTTTTTGGTCCATTTTAACAAATTTGACAAACATCAAGGCATTGGGAAAGAGTGAATTCCCAATGAAAATAATTTTAAGGAGAATGAACATTACTAAAGGTTTAAAAAAAAATTATGATCAAAGGACCAATCTACAGTATATTGTCATTATGTAGTTGCTGCGATCCATGATGACATTACAGATTGACCAGGCCAGGAAGTAAAAATTTCACAACACTTTTGAAACAGAATTGCACAGATAAACAATCAGTTGTTTATGTTATTTTTAAATGACTGACAGGGTCATTCAAATTACAATTTCCAATAAACAAGAATAGCCATGAAATTTCAAAAACCTAGCATAATTGGTAAGGCTCAATAGTAAAATTGTAACATTGTTACTGTATGCAGATATGTTCAATAATTCTGCACATTTAAGTCACAGAATATTCAACAATGGTGATAGAATGTTTAATGTAGGTATTCAATTAGTGATACAGACAGAATTATTTTCAGTTGTTTTCAATGTGAAAAAAAAAAAATTAAAAGAAGTTGACTAGGCCTCTACAATTATGCATGGAGAATTTATTTTTCTGCGCTGTTTTAAAAATTTGCGTTAAATTTTATATACTGCACACAACAATAACAATTCAGGTTCAATACAGATAACAGTACTGTATAATAAAATGGTAAATGGCTGGTATTACTGCGTGAATTACCAACGATTGGATCTCCATGAACATGTTGCTGTTTTTTATACAGTACAGTAGGACAACTTATTATTAATACAACATATTTTACATATTAAATTTTTACACAGTTTCGAAATTTAAATAACTACAATAAAAGGTCTAGCTAATAAAATTAATGGTGATTCTGCTGTGCTGACAGCATGTTGGTAAGCTGTAATCCTAGCATACCATAAAACCTTGAATTGAAGCCCTAGGCTTCCTTTTTTTTTTTTTTTTTTGCAAACTTTGGCCACTGTAACATCAATCTGTATCATAGAGTATATTTAAATGGCATTAAATCACCTTAACTAGTGTATGAACCAAGCTGGTTTTTACAGCAGCTAAGCTTTAAGAGAGCAGCTTAGCTCAGTTGGCTAATCTGGTGGTAGCTACTGTGTGTGCGCTGAACCGTGGAGATCTCTAGGTCCCTGATTCAATTCCCATCGCTGCCTCTCCTTGTGTTTCAGCTAGAGGGCTGAAATACAAGTTACAATAGCGCAGCGTCTTTGGGATGAGACATTTAAGCCGTTGGTCCCGTATGCATTTATGGCCCATGTGCACGTTAAAGAACACAGTACACTCTTCAGAAAAGAGTAGGGGATTGTCTCCCGGTGTACTGTCCAATCACCACCAGAAGGACCCTACTGGAAATAAGTCTTCTTCTAGACTTTCATGGGCTATCCTTGGTGTTTACACCGAATAAATCCAATCCAATTAATTTCGTTTTTTGAAATCCAAGTACAGTGAGAACTATCTTGAAAAGAAGCTGATGCTATCTTGAAAAGAAGCCCATGGGCTTCTTTTCGAGGCTAATTTTGCCAACTAAAGAGGGGGCTTCACCTTGGGATTAAACCCATTGGGCTTCAATTCGAGGTTTTACTGTACAGTATACAATGTAAATAAACTTGTTGTATACTGTACAGTACTGTACTAAACATAAAATTTCTGCCATTGTTACACAAAACATACGATCTGCACTCACTCTCGTTCTGTTTTCTAGTTGTGGTGACTGGTGTCTTTCCAGAATGTACATTCCTGACTGCTGATTGGTTTCTGTTAATTGTTACATTGTTTTCATTTCATTTATTCATCTCAAAACAAAAAATAACATTAACAAACACAAATACAATAACTTACGATAACAGGAAGGTAAAACGCGAGACAAGGACACCCAAAAGTGAACTAAATCCCTGCTGGTTCGGACAACCTAGATGATAGGATAGTGTATTATTATACTAGACACCAGATTCATGCAATCAAAAGGAAGTACATTACATGCAAAACTACAGTACCACAAAAAGAACTTGGGCTCGACCCAACAGTGAATATTAACGTAAAATTTGATAGAACTAACATCCTGTTTTGATGCATTTAGGAGCTGCAACAATACAATTAAGCACCCATTACCAGTCACCAATTTGCTAGCTGATGACTCATCAAAAATCCCTGTAAAAGCTTTAAACGGCGTGAGAGTTCATCTCCAATCTATCTCATTCAATTGCATCATGGGAAAATCAGATTATTAATCGTGACTGCTTACAAAATTCAACCTATCACACAAACTAAATACCTCTATATCACTATGCCAGGCACCAAAAGTCATGGCATTAAACATCTGTTCACACATTAGAACCTCCATTCGTTCACAAACAAACAAAGAAGACTGATGTACATTTAGCTAAAAAGCATACTTTTAACACTCACTGCGTTAGAAAGACCTTGTAGAAATTAAAATGAGAAACTAGTCTATGCATTTAATACTAGTTTTTGCATACTGTTTACATTGATGGGAAATCAATCACTAAAGGTATAATTGTAGGTATATCAGCCAGAAATTGTTATGAATTCTTGGAAATTTAGAAACATTTCCGTAACACATGAACATGTAATGTTGATTGATGTGATGACTAATGCATTAAAAATGAGTATCCTAAAAATCTATTGAATGTCCAGTCAGAGCAAGATTTGACCTTGATACAATTTTTTTAAACATTTTTTTGTATACAAAAAAAAATATTGTGAAGTTGGTTGGATTAATGAGGAGTTCTCAGGAGAAATTATTCAGTAAAAACAAGTTTTGTGCTGTACAGGTTCATCATGATACTCCAAAATGTATCCATTCCAAAAGAGGTTTTAATGCAGAATATATTATTCATATTTTAAAGCATGATTCATTGAGTAGCTCTGGGTAAATTAAAACATCAGATTTAAATGAGTAGCTTTATTTTCCCCACGGGACTCCACTGAATAAAATAGATGCAATTATAGTGAAACCACCTAACACTTCTGCAAATGATAGTAGTATTTTTGTGCGTGTAATTTTCAAGCCTGTTGTTCATAATGCATCAAAATTGCCTCTACCAGTCATAAAATTTAATAATAATAATATTTTTATAAAGCGCCTAATGCAAAAAAAAAGCCTCAAAGCGCGGAAAGATGCCAGTTGAAGTTAGGTATATCGTATAAAGAGGTCATTATTATATGACTATGGCATATCCAGTTGTTCGTCTTAGCTTATTGAGTCTAAGCGAGTTCATTCTCTGTTGAGCTGTGTTGGTTTATTTCTAAATCTTAACGATACGATTTTCATGTATAGTGGTGAAACAATTGGTAGGAACAGGGCCGCGACATGAGGGCTCCTTTATGGCCCCAAGGAAGAAGATTGTTAAATATGACTTCTTATTGAAATTCAGAGGATGATCAAATAGTTTTAAAAATATTTGTCCAAATAGACAACGCAAAGTTGTTTACAAAATCAAAGGCTCAGGTACAGTAACGTAACATAATGAAGGGCCACAAATGCATTATAAAATGCATGTGACACACTTGTAGTTACTGTACATTGTTACATTGGAATTGTTTGGAGAAGGAGGAAACAAGAAAATCAATTTTCTTTTTTAAGGCATGTTTGGTTGATTACAGTACCTACTGTATGCACGAATTGAAGTTTTTTCAACTGGAATCAAATTTAGTGGATTATATTTATTTTACACATCACATACCTAATCAGTTCACAAGTATTATGTTACAGTATTTGCTTATTAATTTTCTTACTAACTCTGTTATACCAGAGCAGGGTTTACATCTGCCATAGATTCAAACAATGAGGATCAAATCCCGACAAAGTATAGTTCATTAGCTACTTAAGCCTATAACCTGGTCCTGGTGACATTTAGTGGGAGTAACAAGAATATACAGAGTTGTATAAAAAAGGAAATACTGGTTTTCTTAACAACTGCCCACTTATAACATGAGAAAAGAGCAAAAAAAGAATATATTATTAAAAATAGTGATTATCCTAAATGTGAAAATTGGGATACCTTAGAAATCAATTAGCAGTGTCCCAATCATGTACAGGTACGTGTATAAAACTAAAGCTTTCCATACCTACTATAATCTGACCACATACATAAGCCTACGCAGGAATTAGCCCAACACTTTTTGATTTATCTGGGAATAGTATCTTTTAAAAGCAGCGAAACATTCTTGCAATTTGGATTGAAATAGTCATAGTGCCTTATGTACAGCTAACTCCGAAGAAACAATGCATTCTTCTTTTTACTGTGATTCGGTCATAGGCCTACTCTATTTACAATCTTTCCTCCACTGTGTCACATGACTATGCTATAGCGCCCTCATTATGTTTCGGTGGATACACGCCGACAGGTAGCCATGATGTTGTTGAATTAAATAGTTCTAGTTGAGTTTGATTGTTGTTTCTTTTATTCAACCAGCCTACAAATCGAGGTCTCAACACCCAGAGAATACAGCATGGTGTCAGAAATTTGTTAATAAATTGTTAATAAAACAGTATGACCCACGAATATTAATAGTGAGCTTTCGCATCAAACGACGGACGGACTTAAGGACGATAATCTAACACGAAAATCGATCTGCGCATGCACAACCCCCCGCAGCTTCTCGTTCTTGGCAAAATCACGAACGTTTTTGGCCAATTTATCATCCGTGGAGAATCACGAATGACTAGCTCAAGCAGCCTATCAGCGCTCTTTAGGGATACCAAGCAGCCAATAAGCGCTCTTTAGGATAACTAAAAAAGAGGGCGCGTGTCAGGTTAACGACGTCACGGACTACCGTTCGGTCTTCAATTGCGAAACTGCAAATGATAAGACTGCAGACAAGTATCAAAGACGGTCACAGTTCATTATTACATTTCTTTAAATTTGTACACTTTTACACAAGGCCATCCACATGCAGAATTTCAAAACTCAACAAAACAAGATTCTTGCAGTATTAAAAACTGCGGCAAAAAAAATTAAAAAATGTGTAGAACTTAACTATGCAAACATTTTCTTGTGTATTTATAAAATTGTGCATTGGCCTAAAGGCCGGTTCCCACTGAACACAATCAAGTGAATTTCGCGTCGAAATGTGGCGCGCGCTGCTGAATCGAAGACGCGACTGGCGTTTCCAATGTGAACATGCAAACGAATTTGTAGTCAAACACGCGAACGCCCAATATTGGAACTTTGACGCGGTGCGCGCGGTGGTCGCGGAGGCTTCGCCTGCGAATTCACAGGAAATTTTTTTTCGAATTCGCGAGCGAATTCGCGGCCGATGGACCAATTGCAAGGCTTAGATTCAATCTATGTCAAAGATCAACAATAAAGTCCCGACCATTATCAAATCTGATACCCTGCTACTACCTGAGACCTACAGTAGGGTACTGTAGGCTAGGCTAGGCCTACTATCTACCCTTAGGAGGCCTAGCTCTAGGGCTTGAATAAATTGACTAAAAAAAAACTATGTTTACATTCACTCTTTTGATTCATTTATGGAGTTCTGGGAATGTTAATCCTGAGGATTTTATCTGATTTCATCTCACAGAACTTTTCCTCCATCTATCAATGCGATAACAAAACAGGGGTGGCGCCAGCAGCCCAGAATACAGATCATTTCAGTCGCGCCTTCATTTCGGTCACGCCTTCATTTTGGTCGCGCTGTATTGTTATGTATTTCAGTCACGCTAAACAGCCTCAGTATGGAACGCCGATGTACGCACTAGTGCTTTATGTTTGGAAAGTATTTTTTAAAGGGTTCTGTATTTTTTAAGTTTTTTTGGTGCATGTGTTTCAGAATGAGTATTATTTATTTTTTCTTCTTATTTTTTTTTTTCTCTTTACGATGCTTGACTATCAAAGGCCTAATAGGCCTATTCTTTGTAATTTTTTTAGTATGATTGTTGTTTTAAGTTTATTTTACGATTGTTATTAATTACAAGTAATTTGAATATAATTTTAGCGTGTTCTTTTTCTTCTTACAGATTCAGAAGTGAAAATCATTATCAAATTCTGAATTATTCTGAATGTTGTTACGATTATGATTTAATTTGTTTAATCAAATAAACTTTTTAATCAGAATATTAAAATATACATGTATTTGTACATTCCATTTAAACTATAGTATTTTACAATCCATAGTATTTTATTTTTTATATAAATATGATCATCAGATTGCTGACTCAAAGTTAACGGCGACATAAAGTAGGTGAACGCACTTGAACACCTTCACTGCCACTGCCATGACCTGCTAAAAATAGCTAGTCATCTATATTTAGCATCTGACCTATATCTGCCTGCAGTGTAATGCGTTCACATTCCTGAAGGCAGCGTAAAAAGAATAGCTCCCTTGTTCCAGATTTGCGGCCGCGCCGTCGGCGCAGCATACACTGTGACCGAAATGCATTACGAAAATAGCGCGACCGAAATGAAGGCGTGACCAAAATGATCGGATACTGCAGCCCACAGCCCCCTTCCCCGGTCGGGGAGTGCTGCCCCACCCCCCTCCGGGGAGAAAAAGCACAATTTTATTTTCTACATATTAGTAGACTCTAAAATCGATTAAATAAGCATTTGAAACCCCTAAATTGTTAAAATTGTTGGAGGCTTCGCCCCTGGACCACTTTCGAAACCTTTTAATCAAAGCTTGACCACGCCCACATTGCTTTCGTCGGGGAAATCTGACCCTCCTCTGGGGCATCGGCCCCCTGTCGGCTAAATCCTAGCGCCACCCCTGTAACAAAATCACTTCTCTGTTGCCACCTGCCATTTCAAGTTTTTGCGCGCGGTCAGCAGTGGGAACAGGCAAGCGAATCATTGGAAGCGAGACATTCTTTACCGAAAGTAAACTCTTGTGAACTTTGCGCAATTCGCTTTGTTTGCCGTGTGACGCTCGGCGCGTCCGACCGACCTTAAAGCCAAAACCAATATAGAAATTTCACAAAACTTCCTCCCTACTCTTGTTGTAGGCATAGGCGCATAGGCTAGGCTAGGTTCCGAATGTAGGAGCTTTGTCCAGAGAGAGCCAGCAGTTGGCCCAGGGCCTAACCTAGCCTATAATATGATAAATTTATTATTAATACAGTCACTATCAGTGACAAAAAGCATTTTAATTAATTGAAAAATAAAGACACCAAACTACACTACATACAGAGATGCGAGCTGCCCACCTGTCTATATTCGGCAAGGAAATAGCAATGTCTACATGCTTATCAACATTCTTATAATACTATATAGGACCTACACCATTGTAACAGTTACATACAATGACGAAAGGTGGCCTAGCTAGGCTACGCTAGGGTCATGGATTGAAAGCACGTACAAGTCCGACGCCGCTTACCTTCGTCATCGACCCTACCCCTTGTTGAGGATACATAGTATAGTAAATACCGTGTCATTAAAAAAAAGGCCTTAAAATACACACTGCAATTAATGACGACAATGAACAATTATATATATGGACACACCTAATGTAAAACACACACCTAACGTAGAACAGGCAAGCGAATCATTGGAAGCGAGACATTCTTTACCGAAAGTAAACTCTTGTGAACTTTGCGCAATTCGCTTTGTTTGCAGTGTGATGCTCGGCGCGTCCGACCGACCTTAAAGCCAAAACCAATATAGAAATTTCACAAAACTTCCTCCCTACTCTTGTTGTAGGCATAGGGGCATAGGCTAGGCTAGGTTCCGAATGTAGGAGCTTTGTCCAGAGAGAGCCAGCAGTTGGCCCAGGGCCTAACCTAGCCTATAATAAGATAAATTTATTATTAATATACAGTATCACTATCAGTGACAAAAAGCATTTTAATTAATTGAAAAATAAAGACACCAAACTACACTACATACAGAGATGCGAGCTGCCCACCTGTCTATATTCGGCAAGGAAATAGCAATGTCTACCTGCTTATCAACATTCTTATAATACTATATAGGACCTACACCATTGTAACAGTTACATACAATGACGAAAGGTGGCCTAGCTAGGCTAGGCTAGGGTCATCATGGATTGAAAGCACGTACAAGTCCGACGCCGCTTACCTTCGTCATCGACCCTACCCCTTGTTGAGGATACATAGTATAGTAAATACCGTGTCATTAAAAAAAGGCCTTAAAATACACACTGCAATTAATGACGACAATGAACAATTATATATATGGACACACCTAATGTAAAATGAAATAAATATAAACACAGAGTGCCGACGGATACTTACGTGGTTAGTGCCTCGTCATTTTGTTTGTATTTTGGTCTGCTCCTTTTGCATTTATCTGGTCAGCAGGACCAGGTATGAACCAACAAGGCAACGTGACTACTCACAATGTTTGATAATGATATATACCCAATGACTAAGTCGAAATTACCCAAGATTCAGCAAAAATTGCCCAAAATTACCCAAGCTTCCTGAAAATTCATTAAAATTTTCCCTTTTAGTTCAAACTATAAACCATTTTTTATTGTAATTGTTTGTGTTTATTATTAAAATGAATATTCATGAGGTAATAATACGGATAGAAAATACGCCCTCAGTCAGCCAGTGTTATCAGTAGATCAGTGATCAAGTTTTATTATATAGGTTTTATTATATAGGCCTAATGCATAAAATTGGTAAGATCAATGGCAACGCAAATCACAAATAAACAATTCTGAACCCATGTTTATAGCAATTAACAGTCAATTAACAATGTTATGTGCACTTCGTTGAGTTTTG